ATTTCTTAATATCTTATGTGTATCAATTATTTTATGGGTCTTCTTTGCCTCTTCTTCTCTGGAATATCATCTTCCAGATTAGCCTCTGAGACAGGGAAGGAACAGAGAGCAGCCCCTGTGCAGTTAGAGCAAGATAAGGGCCCTGGGAAGGAACAAACGGGATGCTCACTAAAGGACCTGGGGAATGTGAAAAACAGGAGACTTGCAGCTGAAACAATGCAACAATGTTCAAGAAGGTCCTCGCTGAACCTCCATGATATAAAACCATTTTTACTGACTATTAAGTCAGATAGCTCATGTAGCTTGACCAAGGCATGCTAGTTAAAAACAGAAATGCCCTTTAGTATGATCGGCGAAAGTATAGCTGGCATTCTGACGGGAACCTATAAAAAACAAATGGCTTCTCTCCCTCCTCAAAGCAGCACGCATAAAACCCTTAGACCTGAGCCTATAAATGGCAGCTTTGCCCCTCCAGGCTGGGAGTTCTATATCTTGACTTCTCTCTCTCCATAATAAACCTCTTTCTTGCTTATCTACCTTGAGCGTTTGTGAAGTTCATGCTTCAACTCCGTAAACAAGAACCCGGGTATCATCTTTTCAGGGGCTTGTCTGGGATCTCTCCCTGTTCTCAGCCGCCTAGAAGGTACCTACCATTCCCTACTATTCTCGCTTTAAGGAATTCCTTCCTTACCTATACTCACCTGATTTGTTCGACAATTCTTTCTCACCCAGAGTCAAGAACCTTCCCCCGTCCAGGTTGAGGTTTCTCCTAGCGCTTCACCTAGTGCGCAGGGAGAGACCTCCCCAGACGCAGCTGCCCAGAAACAATATAACACATAGGTTTCAGTTAAGTGTTTAATACTCTGTAATCAAGATCTATTAATAATGATTTTAGTGTCTTACAAACTATGTCATAGTGAATGACTTTTAGGTATGCTTTAGTCTGTATGCCCTAATTAGCTCTATATTTTCATATACATAAGGATAAGTTTAGTAGATGCCACTAGTAAGTCAAGAACAAAACATTTCACCTATCTATTGATGACTTTTATCACTTCTAAAATTGGATCTCAAGAAACATGAATGTTGCATTTCAGTTAAAATTTATGCTGTTGACCAATATCCTATAGAAGAAATTCTAATCATAAGAAATGATGGCAATTAATTTAACAGTCTTAGATCAAAAGAAAGCTTGAGAAGGTGTCTATCATATGTACTTGAGTGAATGTGACTTACTATGTATTTTACCTGATTTATAACCAATATAACTTATATTGTTGCCTTTCTTAAGTATCAAAAATTAAAAAAACTCTTGGTGAACTAAAATAATCAACTCCTTCAAATGCATTTTTTTCTTATAGGATTTAATTCAATCTTAGAGACAATTTTTATGTAGAAGTTCCATAATAAATATTTTTTGGAAATTAAAAAATATATTTTTGGGGCCCATGGATTTCAAGATTATTTTATGATTCAGAATAAAGAATGCATATTAGTCTTATAAAAACAGAAATGTATTTATACAATTTAAGCTACTAAACCAAAGTTCAAGAAACTATACTTAACCTACCTAGAATTTGTTCCAATATATTGTAGCCAGTGATATGACAATTCATTTCTATCCTATTCCTTTATGTAGTGCTAAGAATAACATACTGATTTCATTTTTTCGACTTACTCCTGGGTCACAACCATTAGTTTGGGAAATACAATCTTACTAAAATAATGTATTTTAATTATATGAAGTTATTACTTCTTTAGAATGTTATTACATTCTAATAACACTTAACCATTACTAAGGAAAGAACTCTAAGGCATGGTTAAAATGTGATAAGAGTTACAAAATCAAGTTCAACATCAGAGATAATTTAAGATACTGGCACATGCATTAGATCTAGTATGCAGTCATAATTCAGCTGTGAGCCAGTTGTCCAACTTCAATGTACTCAGCATTATAAATAATATTCTATGCTACTAATCCACACTAAAAATCCTTAACCAACATATGTTCTTTATCCTTTGTAAACTGTCTTTTTCTTCTGCCTTTCTCCCAGCTTAATCCACCTTACCCTAACAAGCACAGAGCATCTAAAATTTATGTTTTGTTCTTTGAAAAGATGACTGAAACTAACATAAAGGCTTATACAGGCAGTTAATAACTTTCTTTCACTAGGACACTGTTCAAAGGCCACAACCTATAAATGCCAAGTTTATTTGATAGGTAGATTTATAGTTTCTCCCTACAGAGAGAGTGGTAAGGACGTGGATTTCCCTTTAGGCATTTAGAGCTTCTAACTTCTCTAATTAATCATTGTGGAGTCAGTCAGTATTCACTCATCTAGTTCACAGATCTATTTACCTACAATGATGGAGTTAGTTTTGCTTTGCATTTCCACCATCAGAGGCATCATAAAGTACTCTTGGGTGTGATGTCTGATAGGAATATTTTTAAAATAGAAATTAACAGCTTATGTACAGTTGTCATGGGTAACAATGACTATTTGTGCAATATAAATAGATTCCCATTAGGTCTGTATTTTCTCCATAACCCATATAGGAGTTAATTAAAATTTACAGAAGGCTCTGTTGCATGAATGTGCATCATATCTTTAGTAGCAGATTTTCACTTTTATTAGTAAAAAAAAAAATTTTTTTTAATATTTTTAAACAAATAATGTTAGTGTACATTCCAGAACAATTGGCTAAATAATAAAAATTGTATTACTAAATACAAAAACAAAATATAGTCTTTTACTGAACATTTTCTAATTTAGAAACTATACTTAACCTACCTAGAATTTGTTCCAATATATTGTAGCCAGTGATATGACAATTCATTTCTATCCTATTCCTTTATGTAGTGCTAAGAATAACATACTGATTTCATTTTTTCGACTTACTCCTGGGTCACAACCATTAGTTTGGGAAATACAATCTTACTAAAATAATGTATTTTAATTATATGAAGTTATTACTTCTTTAGAATGTTATTACATTCTAATAACACTTAACCATTACTAAGGAAAGAACTCTAAGGCATGGTTAAAATGTGATAAGAGTTACAAAATCAAGTTCAACATCAGAGATAATTTAAGATACTGGCACATGCATTAGATCTAGTATGCAGTCATAATTCAGCTGTGAGCCAGTTGTCCAACTTCAATGTACTCAGCATTATAAATAATATTCTATGCTACTAATCCACACTAAAAATCCTTAACCAACATATGTTCTTTATCCTTTGTAAACTGTCTTTTTCTTCTGCCTTTCTCCCAGCTTAATCCACCTTACCCTAACAAGCACAGAGCATCTAAAATTTATGTTTTGTTCTTTGAAAAGATGACTGAAACTAACATAAAGGCTTATACAGGCAGTTAATAACTTTCTTTCACTAGGACACTGTTCAAAGGCCACAACCTATAAATGCCAAGTTTATTTGATAGGTAGATTTATAGTTTCTCCCTACAGAGAGAGTGGTAAGGACGTGGATTTCCCTTTAGGCATTTAGAGCTTCTAACTTCTCTAATTAATCATTGTGGAGTCAGTCAGTATTCACTCATCTAGTTCACAGATCTATTTACCTACAATGATGGAGTTAGTTTTGCTTTGCATTTCCACCATCAGAGGCATCATAAAGTACTCTTGGGTGTGATGTCTGATAGGAATATTTTTAAAATAGAAATTAACAGCTTATGTACAGTTGTCATGGGTAACAATGACTATTTGTGCAATATAAATAGATTCCCATTAGGTCTGTATTTTCTCCATAACCCATATAGGAGTTAATTAAAATTTACAGAAGGCTCTGTTGCATGAATGTGCATCATATCTTTAGTAGCAGATTTTCACTTTTATTAGTAAAAAAAAAAATTTTTTTTAATATTTTTAAACAAATAATGTTAGTGTACATTCCAGAACAATTGGCTAAATAATAAAAATTGTATTACTAAATACAAAAACAAAATATAGTCTTTTACTGAACATTTTCTAATTTAAAATATCAAATGTCAGAATTCAAAGTGTGTGCTTTCCTGTTTGCCAAGCTATTACTAAATTTATTTAGAAATAATCCTCAGTGTCTTTTAATTTGTGATTACCATTTTTGACTTACGAGTTACTTGTAAGAACTTTTATGTATAAACTGTCTTTTTGCAGTAAATATAGAGATAATTGGTTACAATAGTCTAGTTTTGTCACATTATCACTCTTACAACTTAAAATGTAATGTTTGGAAAACCAAGTAACATTTGTGGAATATTTCTTTTACAATATTCTTATTTTAATTTAAGTTAATTTGGTTAAAATTGGACCTCAGAGTTAAAAATTAAATTTTCAGTGGAGACTTTAATAACACAGAATTCATTTTAAGAGAAAATAGTTATATTCTGATTATTATGAACCAATTTTTTTATTATGGTTGTGTATAATAAAGATGTTTTGATTTTTCTATCCAAATAGAATTCTTCAGCAATCTATTCATTGTAATGGTAATGTAAGAAGATACTAAAGTGATGTTTCTGCTATGATTATTATGCCAAAAAATATTAAAAGTCAATAACACAAATTATTGTGATAGAGTACCTTATTCCTAATAGAGAAAATAACCCACTTTCATGTACCAATATTCAATAATTTAAAATGAGATCAAAGTTCTCCACTTTTAAATGAATATGTTTAAGGTTTTTATTGAAGAATAACTTACAAAAAGGACATGAATTATAGATCATATATCTTGGTACATGACCATAAACTGAAGGCATCTACATAATCAGTTCCCAGATCAAGACACAGAAAATTACTACCCTTAGCTCCTGTCATGCTTTCTTCCAGACTATCCACCACTGAGTGTAGGCACACTGTTAACGTCAACCGCTGTTTCCATTTCTGACACCATTGCATTCACTGCCTAAACTCTAATGTTTTGCAATAGAAACTACTAGATTTTAAAATGTGTTTATACTTTTGTTAACAATGAAATATTATTGCTTTTCATTGAATAGGTCCAAAATGGTACCCTTCCCGAGTTGGCCTGCAGTTAGAACATGGTAAGAAAAAACTTTCAGTGATCTATTTATTTGGAATTCCTTTCTGGTCATCAATAGTTAATATCTATTTAAACTTAACTAAATGGCAGACATTGTGATAAGGGCTCTAAATATATCAATTAATTCTCCTAATAAGTTATTGCTCTATTTTTATGGAATCAGGAATTTTAGTCTCAAGGAGATAATGATCACACATTCAGTGTGTATTGGAGGCAGTATCTGAACTAACATCTTTCTGTCTCTAAAGCTTTTATGCTATATTCCCTAATTCTACTGCTTCCTAATATATTCTCAGGGACATGGCTTAGCTTTTTCTTCCTTTTCTTTTCTTTCTTTCTTTCTTTTTTTACATTCTAAAGCAAAATAAAAAAGGTAAGGAGGAGCATAAATGAATGTATTTTAGAGAGAAGTATTGCATATACATTGGTAAGCCTCAACTCAAAATTTCAAGCCCTATTCTACATTCAGAAAATTTATAAAGATACGCTTAAAAATGAGTCCTGCTAAGAATCATTGTAATTGATATTACATCAACTGGATCTTAAATTTGGGTTTGTTAAGTAAAAGCTGTGGGTAGAATATAAATTTTGAAGGAATACTTAGTCAAAGTCCCTAATAGTAAATCTACAGGAGGTATCTATTAAAGAATTTCAATCTCTAAATTTTTCCATACAAGGGCAAGTTTTTTTTTTTTTTTTTTGCAAATATTCAAGATATCCTTTCTTAAGAGATTAAATTCACTTAAGAACAAATGATTAGAGGTGGAGCCAACATGGCAGCGTGAGTAGGACAGTGGGAATCTCCTCTCAAAAACATATATTTTTTTGAAAATACAACAAATACAACTAATCCTAAAGAGAGACCAGAAGACACACGACAACAGCCTGACTACATCGACATGTGCAAGAGCCCAGCACCTGGTGAAAGGGGTAAGATACAAGCCCTGGCCAGCGGGACCCCAGCACACCTCCCCCCAGCTCCTGGAGGGAGGGAGAGGGAGCCCAGGAATGCTAAACACCCAGCCCCAGCCACCCACACCAGAGCGCAGACACAGTGCATGCGTGGAGGGCTGGAAACTAGGGAAATAGGGCAGCAAGACCACTGAGCGGGTGCTGAAGCTGATGCCCCTGTGACAAAGAAAAGCCAGTGCTCTTTGAAAGTCTTAAAGGGACAGGGATTTAACAGCTAGATGGAAATAACACAGGTCACAGCCCAGTGGCTGGAAATTATAGGGAAAACTGGGTGCACTAACCCCCTGGGCAACAGCTCTGAGACCCCTTATGGAGGTAAACAGCCAAACAGCCCCCCCTAGTCCATTACCCCTCCCGGCGCTGCGAAAGCAGAGAAACAGCCGAAGGCAAAACACGCCCACAGAAAGGCAGAAAGGAAAATTCCTACACTTCGGCCGGGCAAGACACAAAGACCCAGCATACACGCAATTACACAAAACAAGCCACTAGGGGTCGCAGTTGTCCCAGTAAAGAAAGGCCAGTAGCAAGTGAAAAGTTTGGCCCTCCCAGCTGAAAGTCAATAGCACCTGTCAACATGAAAAGGCAAAAAAATATGATCCAGAGAAGACTAACCCAGACAGCTTCAGCATCTGCTGCATCTTCCCCACAAAAGGAACCTGGGGAGATAGATTTAGCCAGTCTTCCTGAAAAAGAATTCAAAACAAAAGTCATAACCATGCTGATGACTTGCAGAGAAATATGCAAGAACTAAGGAAGGAGAATACAGAAATAAAAAAAGCTCTGGAAGGACATCAAAACAGAATGGATGAAATGCAAGAGACCATTAATGGTCTAGAAAACAGAGAACAGGAACGCAGAGAAGCTGATGCAGAGAGAGATAAAAGGATCTCCAGGAATGAAAGAATTCTAAGAGAGCTGAGTGACCAATCAAAAAGGAACAATATACGCATTATAGGAATACCAGAAGAAGAAGAGAGAGGAAAAGGGATAGAAAGTGTCTTTGAAGAAATAATTGCCAAAAACTTCCCCAAACTAGGGGAAGAAATGGCCTCTCAGACCACAGAGGTACACAGAACTCCCATGACAAGGGATCCAAGGAGGGCAACACCAAGACACATAATAATTAAAATGGCAAAGATCAAAGACAAGGACAAAGTATTAAAGGCAGCCAGAGAGAAAAAAAAGGTTACCTACAAAGGAAAACCCAT